TTCATGGTAGGATCTATAAATGTTAGCTGTCTTATAAAGACCATGTTATACCTTTTGCCGAAGTGTACTAGGTATAAGACAACCCCTTAAAATCCTCATACTTCTGTTCTGTAAGTTTACTGTCAGAACACTGTCAGATCTTACTGTCTGTGCTCTCCCAGAAGCTCAGATTTGGCAACAACCCCATTTATACTCTGGGTTTTATTGGTGTTTTTATCTTAGATTCACTGATTACAGGTTTTTTAACTAATACGTCTGTGATGCTTGGTGTATTTACTTTAGTCGCACTGAATTTCTGCTTTCAGTGCTGGATTTTCCAACTACCCTTTTGAAAGAATTTGTTTTTTTTATTGTTATAAGCTGAAGCCTGTTTTAGTTTTCTGTGTGAGCAGAATGCGGTAATTTTGCAAAACATGCCATAAAACTAAGGCCACTAAAGGTAGCAGTACCAGGAGTTTATTCCACTGCAAAATTAAGACTGTTTTAAACTCCGCATGTCAGCGTCTCTCCACACACCACAAAAAAAAAGGTTTGAGGTCATCAATTTTTTTATATGTTGGAAGCACAAAAGAGCACCCTTTTAATTTCTAGTCTTGACCACAGAGAGAGACATACTGTGACAGTATTGTTGTTTGTGAGAAACCTCTTTGTGCAACTGATGGTTAAAAAAAATGGCTAAAATAAAACATTTCTATTCATTCAGATTTTTTTGTAATATACATGGAACGGTCGATTTGAGTAGTAAACCAGTGCGATTTTAGGCACTATATGCTCACAAATAACATTTGTTTTCTGAGGTTTTTTAAACATATTGCGATATATAGTGTATGGTGATGTAGCCAAAAAATATTGCGATATTAGATTCTCCTCATATCGCACAGCCCTACCTCCTGGTAGGACATGTGGAACACCTTACCTAGAAGGTGACAGCCTTAGCCTTTGTTGGTGATGACAGTTTCAAGACACCTCCTGTCTGGAGAAACTTGCATTGCTCAAGTGTGATTTTGGCTCATTCTTCCATACAAACAGTCTTCAAATTCCAAAGGTTCCTTGGGCCCCGTCTATGAACTCTCAGCTTCTTTCCATAGATTTGGATTCAGATTCAGGTCTGGGCATTCTAGCAGCTTTATTTCTTTCTCTGGAACCAATTGAGAGTTTCCTTGACTGTGTGTTTGGGATCATTGTCTTTCTTAAACTTTCACCCTTATTTTATCTTTATCATCCTGGTAAATGGCTGCAGAATTTTATCAAGAATGTCTTGGCACATTTTTCCATTCATCCTTACTTCAGTTATATGAATCGTGCCAGTGATATATGCTTAAAAACAGCTGCACCTCCCTTTTTTCATGTGTTCAAAACTTGAAAAACGATGTGTTTTCACATTATCACACTAATTTATGAACAACTATAGTTTGATTTCTTTGCATGTATGGATTGGATGGGTTGTTAACAACATCTTGTAAGAATTTCATGTCAATAGCACCTTTGAAATTGGTGACAGGTTCGATACTTATTTTACCCGCTGTATGTCCAGGTACTAGTTTACCATTAACTTGTTGTAGTATATGAGCTGGTATACTTACTATATCAATTCATATACTACTTCCTCTCTGTGTTAAGTCCCAGGGATGCATGTCTACATTAGCCCAGGTGGTCTTAGAAACTCTTGCAGTGTCATTTGTTCATCAATAGGGGTTCTCTGCAGTCAATACTGCTTTGAAAAGATCTTGGAGGGTGTGGTATGCCTTTATCTCCTTGAATCATAAGCTGACAGTAAAAAGTGGTTCTTGTCTATATGACAATTCAAGTTTGAATTTAGCAGAAAAATAGCTTGGTTGGTGTTGTTGCCTAACAACAAGAATGTTTATAGTTTAAGCCATGTAATTTCCCTCCACCATAATGTGTCGCATGTATAAAAATAATGATCATGATTAAAAAGCTTTAATCTTGAAAATAAAATGGTTTGGTACTGAATGAGTGGCGCAATGATCATCAACTTTTAAACTATTTATAACACCTGCATGAAATGTAATGCATAAATAATACAACAAAATGCTGTGCTCAGTTCCAAACCAAATGCAACAGGAAACAGGAAAAACACTGTTGATGTTGTTGTTTTTTTGTTTTTGATCCTAATAAAGTATAGTTTTAGAAAACACTCATTTCTGTTTGCGGAAATTTCAATTGGCTGTCGCAGCCATCAGTCTACTGTTCACCCAAATATTGTAGACATTTAAAAGCGTCCTGTTAAACCTCTCGGCAGGATTACCTTGAGGATGATATGGGAATGTTCTCGAGTGTCCAGTACCTGATTTCTCCCTCAGTGTCTTGAAAAGTTCATTTTCAAACTCGTGCTGTCGTGACTCGTGATGGAGTCGTGCTGGGTACCCAAAGCGCGGAATCAACTCTCCAAAGATTCGCTCAGCTGCTGTCTTCCCAGACTTGTTTTTGGTGGGGTACGCCTGGGCAAACCTGGTGAAGTGGTCCACAACGACAAGAATGTATTCATATCGCCCCCGGCTGGGCTCCAGGTGGAGATAGTTGATGCAAACCAGGTCCATAGGCGAGGTGGATGTGATGGTGCCCATTGGAGCACATACTTGGGTTGTTGGTTTCTTGCTAATGATACATCGGCACTTCCTGGTAACATAGCTTTCTATGTCCTGTTTCATGTACGGCCAGTAGAACCTCTCTCTCACCAGTGCCAGTACTCTCTCTGTGCCGATATGTCCCATGTTGTCATGCAGGTGCTTTAACACCGTCTCTTTGTACTTGGCAGGGAGGATTAGTTGTTGCCTTTCACCTGTCTGTCTATACATCAGTCCGTTTTTGAAATGTAATTTGTTCCACTCCTGCAACATTTTCCTCGTTGTTTTAGTCACTGTGTTTCTGATGTCATTTGTTAAGACTGTGCTTGAGCTAGCTCATCTTGGTCAATTGCAGGAAAAACTGAATGTGGCTCCTGCATTTTCAGCGACAGTTAGGGCAGCAATCCATGCAACATCACTTTCTCGAGCTGCTCTAGCCTCACCCCAGGCTGCTTGGACCACCTCAGGTGGTAACTCTTCAGTGCACTCACCCGCATACATGTCAATGTTAAGGGGCAGACGGGACAATGTGTCAGCATCAACAAGAACTTTTCCCCATTAACTGCATAAATCTTTGGCACTTTCCCATAGTCAGTTAACTCTATGAGCTCTGCTATCGGACGAACATTGACATCTGGAATGTATTTATTTTTCCAAGCTTGGTCTATCAAGCTAACCTGAGCCCCTGTATCTACAAGAGCGGCCACAGTTAACCCATTAAGAAGGCATTTTGTTGTTGCTTTTTTTCCTATTAGTCTTACTATTGGCTCTCTGTTGCTTACAGCGGTTTTTAGTGGCTCATTTTTGCTCTTCTTGGATTTCTGTCTCTTGAGTTTAGCTTGGTGCACTTTTGTGTTGTCACATGATTCAGTCTCTGTGTCAAGGTGGGACTCAGATGTTGTCCCGGTCACAGCTGGTCCCTACGCAGCAGCAGGCCCTGGACTGGTGAAGTTTCTCTTTGCCTCGCTTCTGCCATATTGGAGAGGAGGACCTATGACCTCGCTATGCTGTCTCACTGAGCAATGCGCCACCCGGAGGCCGGGGGGTGCAAATATCTCTTACACATAGTTCACTTCGGTGACAAATCTCTCTTTTATTTTTTAACAAGTACTACTTCTGATGGGATCACACATTAGTGTGTCACATTAGCTTTATTTTTGACACTCTGTGTATACCAAGATTGTATACACAGAGTTTGTAATTGCAGAGAAGTACTGAATTAATTTTGGGCATTTCATTTTCGAGCAGGAAGCTCAGAAAACCCTTTGGGGTTTAACAGGTTAAAAGAAAAGCAAAATCCACATTTCATTTTCAGTTTATACTGTAAATATTCCCGTTTGTAAATGAAAATGCAGATACTGCTGATTTTGTGAACACCCTAATATTCTTTTTCTTCATTTTCAGTAAAGAAAAAAATATGAAAAAATTGTTCATGTTTTCATTTGGGATTGAATATGCACGGCTCCCAGTGCCTTTGTATATATGGAAATAAATGCTATTAAGAACATGGAACTTTTCCTCTGTTGTTTTAAACACACTGCTATTACTTTGCACATAACTGTACCAAAGACAAAACTGAAGGCAGAGAGACCAACAAACAAACGGACAGTTGCTGCAGTAAAGGTCCGACCGAGCATCTACACCTCAGTCAGTCACAGACTGCCAAAGATTTTCATCAAAGATGTAAAAATGATCATTTTATTTAAAATCATATCAGGGTGTCCAGTTATTTTCGAGCCTCTGAAAATGGCCTAAACAGTTAATGCACCAACTTTGTGAAAGCCCTAATGTGTGACACCTTAATAACTGTATTTGCATCTGTTGCTGCTTCCTGTATTTTTGAATTAAACAACCATGAGGTACAGAAATTAAAACAAAACACATCTCTGTTTATTTCTGTTCCAACCCACGGTCTGCTTTTCATGGAGCACGCCATCACTTTGTCCATTTTTACTTATTTTTCTTTTGTCCCGAAACAAGCCGAGCCCACCAGCATTCTGAATGACAGTATGATGACCAGGTCCGCGTCGACCTCATTGATAAATGTGCTCTGCCCAATCATAGGCATTGGTTGCTACCGACAACAAGAAATAAAGCAGGGCTGAACCATTTTCTAATAGGGGAGGGAGGGTAACGCTATGCAATATATTCATTTTTTAGAATTTATATTCAACGTTCATTGCAGCTAGGCTCAAAGTGTTAATGCTAGCTTATTTTAATAAACAACATGTCATATGCAAACAACTAGGGTGTGGCAAAGATTATTTTAGGGTGGCACATGCCCACCCAATGCCACCCCTGTAGAGCCACCCATATCAGTGCTGAACTTGCTGTCTCAGAAAGTGAAAACCAAACAAGAGCTCAAAGTGGACCTAAAACAAGGCTGAAAATGACAGGCATTTGTTTGTTCTTAGAAAATCTTTCTGTATTTACAGGTTTGAACAGACAAGCAGCTACAGATAAAGAGTGCTTATATATACAGCAGCACAAGATGTTAAAATGAGTGCTAAAACTATACGGTATTTACAGATGGACTACAACTAAGAACAAGTTTTATCACAAAACGTCTGGTACTCTACACAGTATCACAAATTCAATGAGCTGTACAGTTAAAAACCAAAAAATGGCAAATCTACATGAAATCCAATGTTTCTCCAATCGAGAGGCACTGAATTAAAATGTATTTGCATTATATATACATGTTATAGTGTATAAGCATGTATGTGTTCATACAGATATAGCTACCTGTGGTGCAAAAGCAGCAAAAGAAATTAGAATGTATGGAATTGAATACTACAAAGAAAAAAAAATGTTTGTGCTAAATGGGCTGACTGACGAAAAGGTTACACCATACATAACTAATATACTGGCAAAAACAAAGATTGAGCCCAAGGAAGTAATGTTTGCTCAAAGTCCTAACGGTCCTGACGGTTACGTCAGTCATTTAAAAGAAAAAAGAAAAAAAAGAGATTGTCAATAATACTTCAAGTTCATGCAAAGATATAAACCATTAAAACAACAACAAAAAAATAACTTTTCCCTGTTGACCAACCAGCTGTGCAGCTTTCCCTTCATCGTGACACAGAAGGGGCAAAATAAGAGGGAGGGCGGGGCTTCCTGTGCGGATTATGGAACAGAGTTAGAACGCAGTACGGGCACTTGGTGGGGAGGTACAGTCTCAGAGTCAGCCTCATCCTGGTTGGAAAAGCTGCTCGTTGTGGCAGTGCTGGGTGGTGGTGGTGTGGAGGTGTTAGCGGTGGTGCTGAGGGTGGTGCTGATGACACTGCTGCTGCTGGTGTTGGTGCTTGTGCAACTGGCAGCAGGTGTAGTGGCCTGCTCCTCTTTGGGCTGCTTACTGGCAAACTCAGTGATGCTAAAGACAAATTGGAGGCAGCCCAGTTTGATGTAGCTGCCATGGTGGAGCAGGGCCGTGCCCTCCCAGCCCGCCCCGCTGCCTCCAATTAGACTGGAGCTACTCGCTTTGCAGCTACAAGACGGCTCAGCACCACCCTGACGTTGGCTACTCATCACTCCTCCTACTGGCAACAACCCCACCATGGAGTTGGCTCCCTCGTCCTCTTCCCGTTTCTTACTGCGACCTACGCAAAGAAGAAATGCAGCAGGTCTGAGAAAGACGTCTGTACAGACTAGTGTCACAGTAAACTCCATTAATGTGGAGACAATGCAACCATGAAAAGATTTCACTGATTACATTTTATCCACAAAATAAAAATGAACACTTTGTTTTGAAAATGAGACTAAAATCATGTGGAAAGCTGAACTCTGGCCAACATGTTTTACACTCATCATCTATAAACAGTTACAGAGAAATCTGATTTAATGCTGTTTCACACTGCAGCTCTTTACTAATCAAACATCTGTCCAAATGATCTTTAATAACAGATTAAGACTGGAAGCTTTATGTGATACAGCAACATTCAGACTTTACATAACGTGGTCTGCCACAGAACAAGTATATCTGACTGCTCATTTTAGCACTTTATTTATTTACCTTTCTCATTGCTACAATGCCACATGCACCAAGTTTACCACTGTACTGTACGTTTACTACATCCTTACTTTTACTTTGAAATTGCAACTGATAATAACAAGCCAGCCCGTTCTTTCCCATTTGGTGTTTTCTCTACCAGCAGGCTCGCTGGCTAGATCGCCATTATGGATGGAGATGAACTCCAACACCAAACTCATGGTTTGTTTTTTTCCTGCACTTCAAGCTGGCACTCTAACCAGAACCTACAACAGACGGAGAACTGGTTCGTGTGCAGTTCTCCAACAATGAGAATACAATGAGCTCACTGGGACTCAGAGCAGAACAAGAGCCAGCAGCTGCAGTCCAAGAACATGGGCTGACTGAAGACAGCTAATGATGATGTTCACTTATTTATTTTAGTTTTATATTAAGCTAATATTATTCACTTAAAAATAAGCACACATAGCTCAGCACATCTCATAGGCTACTGTAAGGTATGAATTACAGCAAGAAGGTGATAAGTTTTCTTGTCATTGGTTCACTGCACTGCATAAACTAATTACATGTACCCATTAAGAATGACAAATGTGACCTTAACCACAATTTGGATGAAGAACACTAAAAGCTGACCAATACTGCAGGAGCAGTGTCAGTGTAACAAACAGGACACTGACATTAAGCACATGGGGGGCTACACTTCTATTCAGTATTAGAGTATAAATTAAAGTATTCCTTTAATTTACAGAAGCAATGACGTTATGATTTCTTCACAAATAAAATTTTAACTATTTTAACCAGAACACATACAGATGAGTGGCTAAGTGGAAGAAGATGGATGGATATTCATAAAAGGTTTATACAAAATCTATGAGTGACGACCTCATCAGCAGTCCAAGTCAAACTGGGCACACAGACCTGGGTTCCTTCAAGCCAATCCAAACAGATGACGGAGATGTACTTACGAATGATTCCTTGGACTTTGGCTACCAGGCCACCGGGTGGACATGGTGAGGTCTTCTCAGAGAAATCGCATGAGTACAGGACATTATCCACTGTGGTGCCATGCTCGCTATAGTTCAGAAGCTCATAATGCTTGGTATTCTGAAGGACGACAAACACACACACACACACACACACACACACACACACAATTTACATCTTGGTCACTAACAACCACAGGAGTGCTCTGCAGAGTGATGTAGTTTAAAGGCCTCACCTCATCATAGAAAATACAGGCATGTTTCCCCGATACGTAGTTGCAGTGACCGTAGTTTGTCAGAGCCTTAAAGAAACAGTTAAAGACTTACACACCCTTTCCCACAACACAAAGAATACAGATTTGCAACATGGATTTTTTTCTGCAATATTGACGTGTCAAAATGTATTTTAATGACCTGCACTCCAATGTGACATATTGTGTTTTTGTTCAGTAGTTTTTATTCCACATGGTCCTGTTGTGACCCTCACAGGTCTAAGAACTTACTTTCACAGACAACTATCACTCAACCTGACTAATGATGCAGAGACTGGGAGCTAGTACAGGCTCAGTATATTATTATATTATACTCTGTCGTGTACTGCTGCCTGTTGTACAGAAGTACAGTCATGGTTAAAAGGATACCTTCTGTCAAGGTTTACATATTAGGACAAAATAAAAATCATCTTGTTTTTAGCAGGTCTTGAAATTAAATCTTGATATATAACCTCAGATGAACTATAAAATATGACATTACACTGGCATGTATTTGACAAAACTAAGCCAAAATGCAGAATTAGTGGATGAAGCACTAAGCAAACCCTTGTTGCTTCCATAGAAATAAAGATGGCAAGTAGCAGGTACATACTGCTAATCAAACACAACTGATTAACTGATTATCAGCACGAGTGACCACCTCTATAAACTCAGAAGCATTCTGGTGTGTGTCGACATAATGCCAAAGAGGAAAGATGTCTTAAAGAATAAATGAGTGCTGCATGTCAGTATCTGAAGTTGCATGAAGCCAGTCCCAAACACGCTCATAATTCTACCATGAGAAAGATTATTCACTATTCAAGTGGAAAACATGCAAGACAGCTGCAAAATATTCCCAGGAGTTAAAGTCCAAAAACAGTCACCAAGGATCAGGCAGTGCAATGACTCCAAGCACGTCAGCAAATCTGTCTGGTGGTTCTGCAAGCTGATGAATGATGGGGTGTTGTTAGTTTTTCCACACACTGCTTCTGCTTCACTTCCCATTTTTATATCTGTAGGAGTGATTAGACACCAAACCAGGGGCCGTGGTACACCTGCTGTGTTGGCAGCTTTGTGTGTCACCAGTAAGACCATCACACAGCTATATCCATTCATGCTAGCTGTTACGGTGCATGTACGTGCTGCAGTATTCTTCTGAACAATAGGTGTTGCCCGTCCTCCAAATCAGCGATGATATAGAAGGAGAAGAAGTCAAAGTTGGAAGCCGAGGAATTTTAAAGTTTTTGCCAAGTTTCAACATCTCCCTCTGTGAAACCTGTGAACCTCTAAACTTCTGTACTGATATGATGTTAGGATGCCATTAAAAACAGACTTTAACCCAGCTGCAGCAGCAATGCAACAACACACCAGATTATAAAAATGGAGAAGTGCATGACCAGCAGCGATGACAGCTTACAACATGTAACATCAACTTTGCTGTACGGTGACATTTGCCAGGCACCACACAGCAGGTATGATGGGGCCCTACCTATGTTCTACTTCGGTCTTATTAAACTTTAGTCACAAGGCAAGAATATAACCTAAATCAAACATGATTGACTGGAGTTTGGTGAACTGGTATAATTTCAAAAAACTACGTGAGAGCAGCTTTAATACTGTTCTCCTATGTGAACCTTTCCCCATCAAAGGTGAAGCCTAAGAGTGGCTCAGAGCCAGGGCACAGAATGCAGCAGGGTCAAAGTCACAGCGACTGAATGTCCTACCTGATCCTATGTGTAACGTCCTATAGCACATGCTGACAGCTGCTCCTCTTCCTGTCAGAGGGTAAAAGACCGCTCTGGCTTGCACCTTTTTCTGACCTGGAAGGAGGGGAGTGTAGGTTTTAATAATTAGAACAAAACAGCAATCAAACAGCAGAAAAACTGACTTCTTGACAAGTAAACAGACTAAACTGTAGTGCAAAGGTGTCTTACTGTTTGGGTGGGGTGCTGAGGTTTTTGGGGTAGTGCTGGTGGTGGGGGGAGGGTGGGTGCTGGGCACTTTGGGAGCAAAGAGCTGCTGGATCCTCTGATAGGCCAAGAGCTTGATGATCTCTGTATCCAGTTTGTCCAGCTCGATCCATGCACACACAAACACACACAAACACACACAACCGCTAAAAGCTAATTACATCTTTGTGTGCTTCATAGCAGAACACAGCAATACGAAGGCTCTTAAACTGTCACATGTGGCCACAGAGTGACAAACTCACCCCCATCCTCCTCTTTTCCATCCTTCATGCAGCTGGACAGGTTGGTGATGGACTCACATAAATATGATATACTTAATTCAGCATCAGTAGCTATAACTGATTTTGCACATAATGCGTGCAAGATCAAATTTTGGCCACATCTCCGAGGACTCCCTAACCTCCCTCAAAATTTCCCAGCTTTATAAACGCAACGAGTGCCTCTGTGAACTCTCACAGCTCCATCATGCTTCTATACAGATTCGTAATTTATTAACTTTATCGTCTAATTCAGGGCCAGTTGCTAAAACATGTAAACTCAAACCCTCCACATACAAAAACAGGACTCCAGGATGACCGCACTGACGTCAGACGTCAGCCTCCCGCAGGTTCTAATGACTGACGTCGTTTCCATGGCGCGTGCGTTAAATTGAGTGGGGTTTTTTTTTAGCATTTTTCAAACCAAAATTGCCCAAAATTGAAGTTTCTAAAGTTTGACATATTTCACCTGAAATGTTCACACTCATGAAATCTTCCTCACTTTAAAGTAATAAAAGGCCAGTCTAAGGTGTATTTGTTTGCTTAAATATTCTATTATACTTATTAGCTTACTAAGCTTTACCATAGAGCTCATCCAGAATACGGGTGACACCAATGGAGAGCAGGTACTGCTCACGCCGTACTCCGCCGGAGCTCATTTTTGGGGTGTTTGAATCCTCGTTTCAAGCACTAGTTTTAAAACTTTGGAAACAAACAGGTTTTCACAGCGCTATTAAACAAACCTCCTGCTCGCACTCTCATGTGAAAACCAAATTCGAACGTTGGCTTCTGCTTTTATACCTGCCGCGCTACACGTCATCCTCGTCACCTTGACTCCCAGGGTCACTCAGGCGACGCGGAGTGATTCAGAATAAGTTTCCTATAATTATCAGATTTTTAAAAATAAGAATTCTCATTTAGTTTCGCAGTTTCTAATCATAAGTATTTTAATTATTGAATTATTGTAATATGTAATGTGTTTTTTGATCATGAATTCGTCTCTTTATAAACAACAAGTAGGCCTACAGTGATTTATGCGCAATTTTTGAGGACTCTGACTTTAAACTATTTTACAAACGCGAATTTGAAACTTGAATAAATAGCGATCCCTTGAGCTTTTACAATAGCCTATGAAGGTTAGTATTTAAGCTCAATAAGCTGCTGCATTTATAACATTTGTATTGGAAATTTATCTCCGTAAGCACAAAAATAAATCCATAATAAAAGAAATTTTACCGTTGAAGGAACTTCAGTGTTGATCGTAGGTCCACATGGTAATGCATGTAAAAGTAGTAGTAACTGTTGTGTGCCCACCTTATTACTGAATTAGGCAGAGCACGCTGAATTAAATCAGGACATAAAGCACGGTCTTTCTCTTGCTTTATTGAATGCTGTCGATCTGACAACTAGCCATGTAACGGGGCCTCCTTCGGACCACCACATCCAGTTTAAAAGTCATCACATTAAGACAGCCATATTTCAGTACCTACATGACATCCCCCTTTCCCTTAGATTAAAATTTTTAAGACTAAAGTTTGAATGTCATTTTTTTTCTTTAACATTGAACATTCTTTCTTGTCTTACTTTCGAACAATTATATTATCTAACTGCCTCACCACACACACTGTAAAAAAAATTCAGTAAAAATACAGTACAATCTACTGTATACACGTGAAGGAATTTTCCGTATTAGTCATTTACAGGTATTTTTCTGTATTTCTCAATTACTGCAATGCATTGTGGGAAAAAGAACCTGAAAAGGAGGGAAAAGTAAGCGCAAGAGCAGCCATTAGGCTTCTTTCAGGCTTCATCTGGATTTTGGACTCTGAAGTTGGAGAAACTGCCTTCAAATTTCTGTGGTAAGTATTAAAACTCATGTTTCCTTTTATTAAAATATTTTTTTATTCAGAAAGAATTGTTAATTCTTTCTAAATTGTTAATTAATGCCACGATCGCAATTCTTTTGCGATCGTGGCTCAAGAGTTGGATGTTCGTCTTGTAATCGGAAGGTTGCCGGTTCGAGCCCCGGCTCGGACAGTCTCGGTCGTTGTGTTCTTGGGCAAGACGCTTCACCTACCGCCTACTGGTGATGGCCAGAGGGGCCGATGGCGCAATATGGCAGCCTCGCTTCTGTCAGTCTGCCCCGGGGCAGCTGTGGCTACAACTGTAGCTGCCTCCACCAGTGTGTGAATGTGAGAGTGAATGAATAGTGGTATTGTAAAGCGCTTTGAGGGGTCCCGAAAAGCGCTATATAAATGCAATCCATTATTATTATTAATTTATTTGTTAACTGGTTTCGGCTGTCTCCAGACAAGTCAGGAATATTTTGCTGACTCAGTTTTTAAAATAATTGTTATTTAGGTTTAACAAGTATCTCGGGGTCTTGTTCGCGAGTGATGGGAGAAGGGAGCTGGAGATCGACAGACGGATTGGGGCTGCGGCTGCAGTAATGCGGACGCTGCACCGGTCAGTCGTGGTGAAGAGGGAGCTGAGTGTAAAAGCGAAGCTCTCAATTTACCGGTCGATCTACGTCCCTACCCTCACCTATGGCCACGAGCTGTGGGTAGTGACCGAAAGAACGAGATCGCGGATACAAGCGGCGGAAATGAGCTTCCTCCGAAGGGTGGCTGGCCTCTCCCTTAGAGATAGGGTGAGAAGTTCGGCCATCCGGGAGGGGCTTAGAGTAGAGCAGCTGCTGCTCCACATCGAAAGGAGCCAGCTGAGGTGGTTCGGGCATCTGGCAAGGATGCCCCCTGGGCGCCTCCTGGGCGAGGTGTTCCAGGCATGTCCACCGGGAGGAGGCCCCGGGGCAGACCCAGGACACGCTGGAGAGATTATATCTCTCGGCTGGCCTGGGAACGCCTTGGTATTCCCCCGGACAAGCTGGAGGAGGTGGCTGGGGAGAGGGAGGTCTGGACCTCTTTGCTTAGGCTGCTACCCCCGCGACCCGACCTCGGATAAGCGGATGAAGATGGATGGATGGATGGATGGATGGTTTAACAAAAGAAGCTTCCCATTTTAGTTAATGTTAAAATAATCTTTACTGTGATACCACCAGTTTTGCCCTTCAGTGGCTGAACCAGTTTTCATAAATATTATAGTTAGCTGTCTGTGTCTCTCTGGGTATTACACAGCTGTGATGTGGATAACTGGGAAAAGTGAGAACTTCATGGTCCTAGAAATTATTCTAGGACTCTAATAAGTACTGTTTCTATACCTGTGTTTTACAGTTGGCTCTACTGTACACTTTAAAGGGTTTCAGGAAAAGTTACACTAACCCTAGTTTAAGCCTCAGACCTTCCTGGCTGACGCTAGCAAATGCTAATGTTAGCCTCTGATTTGGGCTGCTAAAGTAAAGACTTTTAGCTAGCTGACCAGCATAGATTATTTCGGTGGTTAACAGACTGTAGTGGTAATATTATTGAAAGTATCGTTTCACCTCAGCACATTTACAATTATGTCTATTTTGTAGCACATAGAAATGTTTAGTTAATATTTACAGACAGACACATTTTCCCTGTAACTGTGTTTCTACTCCAACATTTGTTGAAAATGTATTTTATGAAATGCCGAGCAGCATTTCTAGTATGTGGAATATTTTTGTCACCCCACTGTGCTAATGTGACTAAATACTAATAATGATTACTAAAAAAATTCAATAATAAATCAATAATAACTATTTCTTGATTGAACTATAATGTAAGCGCAGTGCTGGTGTGCAGGGGCTCTATATGCCTTGTCTATATCAAGCTTTTAGCCAAATATAAGTAATTTATTACACGGCGTGCTGCAAGGAAAAGCCTGTTCTAACGTTTGAGCCTAAGGATTATTTTGAGCACCTGACGACTCTTTTTTGCTTTTCATTCGTAAACTCTCTCGAAACTCTTTCATGTGATTCTTGTGTAGGTGGTTAAAGAGGTTTGTCGTGTTCGAGTGGTGGTGGGGACCAGTTTGTGGCATAATTTGCATAGTACAGTTTTCTGGGGCGTGTCAGACTTTTCATAACCAAACCATGTCCATGCTACAGAGGTAGCCCCTCGTTTAACAATAAGGTCCTCGATTTCTTTTGACTGGTCCTTCTGTTTGGAGCTAGCTGGTTCTGCCTCATCCTTGCTGGCCATGCTGGTATTCTCTGTGCCTTCATCTGCGTGGTGACTGTAAGCGCCATTTATAGTTACTTGATGTTTTTATTTGAGGTCATTTGTTTGATGCATATTCTGAAATTTTATGTTTGAGAATAATGTATATCATTTCAGTTTATTTTGAAAAGTCTCAACAGACACTTGAGCTTTATTGTGAAAGGTTTATATGGAAAATAAACAAGCGGACGGCAGAGCCACGCACTGGTTTTACCGTCATTGTTGGTAACGAAAGTACACGTAAAAACAGTCACTTGTCCGTCCATAGTGTGGTTATTGTAAGTATAAGAGAAAGAGAGAACTGTAAGAAATAATATAGCCACTACAGTGACCATCAAAACCATGAAAAAAAATATTGCCGTAAACAGTTTATTTTGCAACACCACAAAACAAAGAATAGTGTATAATATGAAACGATAGACATTTTTATATCGTCATCTGATATATATCGTCATATCGCACAGCCCTAATCCTTTTTTTGTTTATGTTGTTTATGCTCTAGGTAAAAAAAAATTATAAAAATACAAACTTTTTAAAAATGTCTTGTTGTTTCTCTTTTTTTCCTCAGAATAAATTGCGACTAGTCTCAGTGGCTGAGATGGAGGAGCAACACAGCGACACGTTAACTCCGACTGCTGCAGTTCCTGTATGAACTGAGCAACTCTTAAAATCCAAGGAAAAGCTGAGTGTAGTTTATTTAAAGCTCAGATGGACCTTGATGTACTAACATGCAGGCTGCATTCAGGACTTTGTCACACTGTTATATGAAGAGCGGTAACAAGACTTTGTAGTAATTTGTCTTACTATTGTCTTATTTGTTGTGATTTAGGGTCTGTGCGCACTAGCAGAGGTTTTTGTTTGTAACCATAACCTCGTTTTCAGAGCCTTGTCTAACATTTAATGGTCATGAAATATGTCATTTTTCCTCTACTTAAACAGCTAAGAGAATTTGAACACCGTGGAGAAAAAGGTGTGCATTAAGGATTTTGAACTATGATGTTTAAGTGTTGTCACTGCTGAGGATTCGTGGACACAGATCCTTATTCACTATGCTGCTGTTTACAGTTTAACTTTTCATCAGAACAAGCACTTCTAATTATACTTTGCTCCTCACTGACAAAACAAGTCCCGTAAATACACTTTTATCTTTAAGTTTGGGACAGTAATCTGTCTTCATTTATTTTGTGTTGTAGTTATCATATGGGGAAAAGTCCTGTGGTTATCCATCAGTCCTGTTCGAATAAACCCAATGTTCAGGAACATCTTCTTTAGATCTGTTCAGTTGTATTCATGTGGCACCACTTAAACAGTCAACAAATTTTGACCCAAGTATGTTATATTGTAAGGTAAAGAGCCCAAAGAGTTCATCTCAGACAAATGTTCACACAAATGTGAATTGCATTCACTTCATTAATGAAGTGAATGCAATGTAATGCAATTCAGTAATCAAAGGTGTTTGGCTATAACTGACTACATGTGTATACTGTATCATAAGTGGACAGACATGGATGTAAACCACACCTTAACCATTTGGCTGAGGCAAAACTACCACAAGGCAGTGATTCTAACTAAAAGGTACTCTGGATATTATTAAATGTGAACATGTCGTTAAATATGACATTTTTTGTTTGTCAGGTGTCCTGTTTGAAGAAAACACTTGGTAGCCACTTGAATGAATGTAAATAAACACATTTACATGAGGGCAACCTGATTTCAAGGAAATAAAAATGCTCAAATTTGAAAGCTTGTGAGTTATTTTGTTCATGTATCAGCTGTTTAGTCGTTTTATGACAAGATGGATGCTGTCATTATATTTTAGTATAGTTTTAGAGTTGAGGAGAATAAAAGAATATTTAACATTAACTGTACCAATGTTGTTGTGTATAAAGCACAAATTAATTTAAGTTTTAATTTATGAATTTTTGAGCACATGGTGTACTAGGTTGTAATTGCATAGAAATGTACGTTTAAGGATATAAAGAACTATATTTAATGAGTTACAGTGAAAAGAAGTGCTTGGAAATAGTAATATAAACAGAAATTTGAATTTTTCTATTAACGGAAAATATCAGTTAATGATACAGAAAATATACTGTGAATAAACCGAATTTTCCGTTTTATAACTGAAGGAAATGTCCATAAATAATAGAGAGTACACTGTAAATCGACAGAATTTTCCGTTTTATCATTTACAGAAAAGTCCGTCAAACTTCCGTAAAAAAACAGAAAATATACTGGCAGAAAATTACCAGGACATTTTCCGTTTTTCTACGGAATATTTTTTTACAGTGTAAGTGTACACACATTACAAATTTTCCATTACGTAAGAATACAGAAATTTGAAATGCGCAAAATTTCTCTGTTTTATGCAAGAATAAAATAAAATACAGTTGTTTTAGTTTTAAATTAAAATGAAATCATGTATATTTTATCAGATTTTGTATGTATGTAGTTTACAAAAAAAACAACAAAATGTAGTTCCATGTGAAAAAAAAATATGGACAAACACAAGGCCTACTATGGAAAAAATGATATTGGGCTTTATCATGTGAGTTTATTTGAAAACTCTTGTAATTTTATTCCATAATTAATGTAATAATGTTTTCTCATCCATTCAACAAAAGTCAAAATACTTTTATTAAACTAGTAACTGGGTTTAAAAATACATTTTTTGATACACCAAGTGAATAATCGGTTTTTACATTAAATTAATGGATTAACCCTTTTAAGGATATCCATAAAATGTTATTGTAATTACAATATACTGATAATTGCAGAATTACAGATCAATAGAGAACTTTGCTGTCAGACTGCAGGCTTTCTTGTGTTCAGAGAGAGAGTGAGTGAGTGTTCAGCTTTCAGGACCCTCTTCTATGGAACCAGCTCCCAGCTCGGATTCCGAAGACAGACATGTTTGGTACTTAAGATTAAGATTAGGCCTAAAACCTTCTTCTTTTTTTGCTTAAATATATAGTTATGCTGTAGTAGACTTAGGCTGCATTTCTCCTTTTCTCACTTCTTTCTCTCACCATGTGTTTACAGACCACTCTAGATTTAATCATGAGTTATTAATAATCCCTGGCTGTCTTCCCCAGCATGTCTTTTGTCCTGTCTCCCTCCCTTCACCCCCAACAAATTGCGCCTCCTTGTGCCTGGTTCTGCTGTCGCAACCTACTTTAGAGGTGACTGTTGTTTGTGATTTGGCACTGTTTAAATAAATTTGAAATGAATTGAATAGATCTTATCAAGTATCTGCTGATGGATATGAATAATTAAAGAGTTGAGCTTAATAAAACACTAGCTTTACTTTATATAATAATTTCATAATGCAGGTGCAAAACAACATTAATACAGCTCACTTTGCTGTATATGTCCTTAATTTTTTTTAAAGTTAACAAAAAAAAAGTCTAATGCTGCTGTAAGAGCGCTTTCCCACTTTATATAAATGTGCTACTTAAACTACACTGTGGTTGAATGACATAAATGAGGGAATAATACGATTTAGTTTTACACTAACAAGTCTGAAACACTTACTTCCTGTTTCAGTACTGAGTACACAGATCACATTTATAGGTCGGATAGACAGGAAAAAGCAACACGAGCAGCTTCATTCACCCTTGTTTTTGATCTCATGAAGATGTACAACTTTTTTTGGCATTTATTCAAAGTATAACGAACTAAGGAGAAAGCACACATATAAAGGTGATCACTCACAACAAATATACTGACATTCCGTAACTGCTCATTGAACCCAAACCATGGCAGTAAATTGCCAGTAGCATAACAAAGTGATCTGATCCACTCGTGGTTGAGGTGAGGGTTCGGGTTTTTTGTCACATCTTTGAAAATTTGCATGAAACCTAATTTTAACTCACCACTAGGTGGAGATAAATGTCTTTGTCGCCAGTGGGATGGCTCTGTAGTCCAGATCAAATGAGCTGAGACAGATCTGTGCATTTAGTTTATCATAAAACATGTAGATTAGGCTACAGTCAATTTCAAAATAAATTTCACAGAATGAACCACGTGGCATACATAGTCCTTTGGACACATAATTACCAGAACTGCCTCACTCGCTCCAGAATATTTCAACCCATTAACCTGAAAAGCTCTATGCTTGTTTTGGCCATGTTGTGGATTTTTGTTCTGCTGAATAATGAAACGTTGTCCGGTAAGTTCCGATGTCACAGTACACCTCTGCAATCCTGGTGTTTCCAACACCTGTGTGATCATGAATAAATGCGCCAATTCAGTTTGCAAAAATACATGTGGTTTCTGGCTCTCGACCTGCATTTTTCTTTTCTTGCTGTGCAAGTAGGTGTGTCCAGCTCATTCATAAAATGTCGCTGCCAGTGAGGATATATAAAGCACAGCCCTGCAGGTTACTTATCCATCAGGTGCGTCAGGTGCAGTCATGCTTCGTTCTGTCAGCGCGCTCCGGCTCCTTGCGCTCCTGTTGCTGCTGAGCATGAGTTCAGCTGTTGAAAATAACGCCACAGAGTCCGTAAGTCCTCAGCTGGTCCCTGAAACTCAGGACCCGCCGACCGATGAAGACACAAACCAGGCGAGGAATAGAGGGAGACGGCCTTCTGACTCTCTGCGTGATGGTGAGTCCAAATGGCTAAAATTAAATAATGTGATAGAAAACATCATAAAGTATTATGTGACAGTAATACAACTAAAATTGAAAAGAAAAAATCCTAGTTTGGAATAATAATATTTATTTATTTATGTATTTATTTATTTGTATTATGATGATGCAATCAGTTTAAACCTAGGTAAAAAGTAATCTTACAAAACAAAAAACGACAAGATATCCATGTCTGGAATGCAGGATTTATTAAAAAACTGTAATTAAAATACATGCAGTGCCGTGCACGATCCACAGTGAAGCCCAAAGCCCGTTGTCAATACAGACATTTATAGTTGAACCAACAAAGAAATCCTTGCTGCTTGTGTTGAGATTTTTGCAGGTGCATGCTGTAAATGTCTGTCTGTCTGTTGTAGATTATATAACACCTGACAGAACACCTTTGGGATGAATTAGAATGGAGACTGTGAGCCAGGTCTTCTCTCTCAACATGAATCTGATCTGACAAATTAGCTTCTGGAAAAATGGTCAAAAACTTCCATAAGCACATAAACATAAACTGTTATAGCTGCAAAGGGTGAGCCAGCATCGTTTCAAACCCTGTGGATCAAGAGAAGGATATCACTCAAGTTCATATGCATGTGGAGGCAGACAAAGGAATACTTTCAGCAGTATAGTGTAGGCTCGATTGTCGCATGCTTATTACTCTCACATTAGAGGGCACTGTGGAATTCTGTCGATATCCCACATCTGACCTGATGATGGGAGGAGACATTTTGTCATTTTCACTGGTGACAGTAAATTTTAATGTTGTTGTTGTGGTTTTTGTATTATAAGACCACACCAATATTAATCATTTAAAAAGTGGACTATTGTTAAAAAGCTGAAAGTAATACCTTCGGGTTCAATCGGTTTTTCACTAGGTAGCTAAAGCCATGTGATAGCTAGGTTAAAATGTTTATAAAGTTCGGGTTGGTTCTCGTACATGTAACAACCAACATAGCCATAGTTATCTGTTGGAAAACACTGAACAAAATGACTGTCTTTTAAAAAATATAAGGAACCTTTGAGCTTTTTTAATGATATCAATGATACATCAGTTCAAAATACAGTCGTGGAATGTAGAATTAATTCTCACTTGTTTTTGTGGCTTTAATAAAGGCTACATTACTAAAGCTGTAAATTCCACAAGTTCACGGCTCATAAATCACAATACAAATGGTTTAGAATCCTGCAGCAAACACTTCTCCTCAGAAGTTTCATAATACTAAAGCTAAGTAGACAGAGTGAGGAAGACAGAGTAAAGTCACTTAGTGCAGCAAATAAATATTTTGAAGTTGGAACTTATAACTGAAAAAAAAGCCTGTTTTATTTCTCTGTGAAAGAAGTCAGGCTCTATTTATATAGTTTAATGAATTTATAGCACAGTGCTGCTCCCTGCCCTGATATAAGAGAGTTCACCCATCAGTCTCTTCTCACTCTCCCTCTTGTTAATAATCACAACATGACATTTATTTAATTCAACGCTGGATTCCTGTGTTTAAGTGGATGGATAGCATATATAAGGCTTCACAATCTATAACAAAAATAATACTGAGACTGGATATTTTCTTCTATACATGCACATATGCCCACTTACAATAAGTGGAAGAAGAAGTATTATAAACATGACTTTTATAATTCAAGGCAACACAAATTATGGCTAATTTGTGTTTCCTTTTCTCCAAGGACTAAGAGTCATCTTTGAATCTTGTCTTGTACCTCATATAATAGTTAAAGCAGCAGCTGTGTCAAGTATGGCTGTGGCCCAACTGCAGGACTCAGGGACAAACATGACACACAAGATAGGACAGTGGGGAGAAACAGACATGGAAACATGATAACAAAACATAGGCAAGACAGACTGGACATGAACGGGGCACTCCCATTATGAAAATAAGAACTATAAACAGCAGTCTCAGAGGCTCTAGAAGGACAACATATTCATAATTAATTATATTTACAAAGGAATGAATAAGTCCAGAAAAAGACTCAGGACCACGACAACCTCATGGGAAAAGGAGAATGCAATTGCCATTTTACATGTTGGAAAAAACTGTTTTCCTAATTTCGATGTTTGAATCTATTTACTTATTTGTTTGTCATTTAAATTTAGAATTTTTTATAAATCTTTTTTTTTTTAATTGAGAGCTGAGTGTCTTTCTCTGTAAATGCCTTTTTCCATTTAGAAACATTCATTTCAAAGTTCTCTTTTATTAACAGTTAAATTATGAAATAACTATTGATTTATAATTATTAATGTCTAAATAAAGAAAAGAAATTCAGCAGCAGTTTGTAAATACAGAAATGCACAATACATTATTAAATCACAAAATGCTTTTCATGTGCATGACTCTTGGTCCAGATATGAAACTACTGATTTAAAAAAGACAAACTGTGTCATGAAGTGCAGAAATGTGGAAATATCAGACTAACATGAACACGTCATAAACTGGTATCATGGGACAGTTAGTGGTGTGAATTATAAATCATGTTAAATTCTTTTACAACAGAAATATCAGTAGCTGTTTTCCTTTAACTGGGTTTAAACCAATTCTTCACCTTCAGTTTAATGACAAATCATCACCGTTGTAAATATTTCAGTTGTCATTTTACAAATTCATATTCAGCTCTGATGCTATTTTTAGCTTCCTGAAAGTACCAGCAGGACCCCTGACTCTGATTTCACTGATTTCACCATGGACCTCAAATGTGCAGATCGACTCAAACTGACCCAAATTTAATATTGAGGATGTGTGTGTGTGTGTGTGTGTGCATATATATGTTCATTTTGAATGCTACATTAACTGTATGTGCAGCGGACACAGCGAGGGTGCAATTATGTGTGTGCAAACTCAGAAATGTAGACAGTCGTAAACTGAGGTAGACCAAGAAAATACACTCCTGCCGGGTGTTTAGAAGTCTAATGGCATTGGAGAAGAAAGAGTTCTTTAATCTACACTTCACACTTCTATACCACCACCACCACTACCCACTTAAAACAAAACAAAAAACAATAATATATATATATACACACACACATACTTTGGAATAACAAGAAGACTGATCTAAGCTACACATATATGTAACTCACTTTTCATGTCTTAGGGCCAGACCAGAGCCAGGTGGGCTGCAGGGAGTTGAGGTCCACGAAGTACATCTCTGATGGCCAGTGCACCAGTGTCAACCCTATCAAGGAGCTGGTGTGTGCTGGGGAGTGTCTGCCAGCTCAGCTGCTGCCCAACTGGATTGGTAGAACTCACACTGGGAGGTACTGGAGCCGCCGCGATGCTCAGGAGTGGCGCTGTGTTATCGATCGAACCAGGACCCAGCGGATCCAGCTGCAGTGCCACGATGGGAGCACGAGGACCTACAAGATAACTGTGGTGACCTCCTGCAAATGCAAGCGCTACACCAGACAGCAGAACGATTCACGACACAAGGACACATCTGGAAATACTGGTAAACAGAGGAAGAATCAGGGGAGGCCTGGACTGCTGGAGATGAATGCTGGGAGCGAGTCTGCTAACTGAAACCTGATTTCACAGCTACAAAGAAAGAACCTTCATATTGTCACTATAAATGTTTTTGTATGAACTATAAGTGTGCAGAATAGATATAAACAAAGGTGAATAGTATAGTGTTATCTCCATATTTAGTTTAATACAGTGATTAGTCTGTAGACCAAAATATAGCTCATTTGTTCCCATGAAATATGTTTGTCATCTGCAACAAAGAACTCGGCTGCAACTATTCAGAAAGCAGTCTAACACCTGAGCTACAGCTGGTGACATTTGTCTAATCTTTCTGGAGAGAAGTGTTGTCTTATTTTTTCCGTACATTTTTTGAACAGCAGTGATTTTGTCACACTGACAGTATTCTTATTATTCGTATAGTGTGAATATGAGTACATGTTATATATTTTAGCTAGATGTAGAGATTTAGATTTGCTGTCCTTCTTTGGTTTTGCCTCATTGTAGCATTTAGTGTTATCTTAGCAGGAGAGCCTCTCCTAGGAAGGGTCGTGTTTTATGAAACTTTCTTTGTGTGGATTGATGGACATCAGGTTCCAAAAGCAACAGGAAAGTGTTTTGCAGTCTCATCCATGTCTGCGCATCTCTGTAACACTTCTTGTATCGTCCTGTGAAAGTTGTTGTGATTGAGGCATGATGGCTGCAAGTCATGCTTCTCGAGGAGAGCATACTTTGTTAGTAGTTAGTGGTTATTTATAAGAAAGGGACAGGGGGTGTCAACAACCTATTCTCGACCAAATAATTGAAACGCGTGCCTCTGTACAATGTTTCCAGCCTTTACTGTGAATTGTTGCTCATTGTGTCCAAAAATGATATGAAAAGTGATAAAGTTAAAAACAAATTTTAAAAGTAATCAATAAAGAAGTGGTAATTCCAGGATTATAGCGTTTCATGCAGCACCTGAGAGTCTCAGATATTGTTTGTAATGTAAAGGATGTTCTGTTAGCAGTGAAGGCACAGTGTAATCAAATAGTTTATCAGTTCAGGGTTTTGGTTTGTGTTGGAAGTATGTACAAAGATTTTTTTATTTAAAAAATAGAAAACAATAATCAGTTAGACAGATATCATCTATTTTGTACCAGAACAGTTCTGTTTTACATCTCTTTTTGCATTTTCTGAAATAATAAAAATTTGTTTCAGTGATGTGGTTCTGATATAATGCTGCAGGCATGCTAGACAGGTTTGTTTCTTTGTTTTTTTTAAAAACATTTATTTATTGGTTTTAACCGGTTTTACATGGTGCACCGTGAACATTAAAAAATAATAATAATAAAAAAATACCACAACATCAACAGAAATAACATAGGAATAGAAACAAAAACAAAGCAAACCATAACAGAAGGGAAGGACAGATATACAAATCAAGTCAGAGTTTCAGGCTGTTAAGTCCACAGTGTGCACGCTGCAGTTCTACAGAAAGTTGTAGAATTTTGACCATACAGCCCAAAACTTGTCCAGTTTATTTCTTAATGTATAAGTTATTTTCTCTATAGATCGTATAGATGTCAGTCCACATATCTTTTGATTTTTCCAGCACATAGCAATACAGCGCTTGGTTTCCAAAACTCCAGTCGTTAACAGAGCTCTATTGTTTGCAGCAGGTACAAAATTATTCGGGTATATATTTAAAATACATACTTTAGGATGAAGTGGAATCAACAGACTCAACAGATTTATTACCTTTTCCCAAAAGATTTTCACATGTGGACATTCCCATATACAGTGAAATAAAGTGACCCTGTCCACTCCACACTTAATACAGCTCTTGTTAACCATTTATATTGAAGTAGCCGAGATTGTCTGACTCTGGGCCAAGGAGCATGATTTATACCACTCATCATCAGATATATCCATTTGCAAATCATTCCTCCAAGCCTCTAAAATAGACTGTGTTGATTCTTTGGAATTTTCCATAAATAATTTATACAATGCAGAAACTTGGCCTCTCCCATTTACATGCTTTATAACTGTGCTCTCTAGAAAGGAGTAGGTGGGGATTTGTAAGCTGTCACCTTCTGTGGTTAAGATAAAATTTCTTAATTGAAGAAATTTAAAAAAATGTTTGACAGGAATAGAAAAAGTACTTCTAAGTTGTTCAAAAGACATAAGAGTATTATTCCTAAATATATCAGACACTTTCTCATACCTTCATCGATTCAAAATTTAAAACCTGCATCCGCCCTACCAGGAGGAAAGCTGTCATTTCCAAATATCGGAGTAAACCGAGACAGTTGGATCATTTCTCCCAAGTAGTTATGTATTTCAAACCAGATCATTATAGGGTTTTTAAAAAGGGGTTCTTAGTTTGCTTATTTAGTGTCTTCTTGTCGGCTGAGTAAAGATATAAGGCAGGAGGAATTTTGATTTCTGTAGACTCCGTAGAAACCAACACTGGAATTTGCGCATTAACAAAATAAAATATTGCCGCTCTGATTTGAGCAGCCCAGAAGTACCACTTTAAATTTGGAAGTTGTAAACCCCTCTTTCATAAGGAAGGTATAATAATGAGATTCTGAGTCTTGGTCTTCTGTTATTCCAAATAAAGTTTCGGAATAGTTTTTGCAAATCTAAGAAGAAAGAGTTTGGTGGAGAGAGAGGTATTGATTGAAAAAGGTAAAGATATTTTGGCAAAATTGACATTTTTAGTATATTAATACGACCAATTAAAGATATAGGTAGTTTCATCCATCTGTTTAGAAGTGTAATAACTGAAGTCGTTAAGGAATTATAATTGGATGCAAGAATATTTTCAATTGAGTGAGTTAATTTCACACCCAGATAAGTAAACCCATGTTCAGATAACAGAAAAGGAGTATTGATTGGAGGAGTTTGTCGTTCATTTTTATTCAAAAATAATATTTCGGATTTATCTGAATTTATTTTATAACCCGAAAATGTACTAAATGTATTAATGAGACTTAATATGGATGGTATTGATTTGTTTAAATTAATGCAGAACAGGATCATATCATCTGCATATGGGGCGATACGGTGGTCAACATTACTTTAATTCCTGATATGTTTTTATGATTCTGAATTGTCATTGCAAGAGGCTCAGTTGCCAAGGTGAACAAGAGAGGTGACAAGGGGCACCCTTGTCTAGTTCCACGATATAATCTGAATGGTGCGGAAAAAAGACCATTAGTTAAAATCTCTGCTTGAGGGTTGAAGTACACCAACTGACTCCATTTAAAAAATCTGTTTCCAATACCAAACTTTTTCAAAACTTCAAATAAGAACGGCCATTTGATCCTGTCGAAGGCTTTTTCCTCATCCATTGAGATTAACGCATTGTCTCTTTTTTCTCATAAATGATATTCATGACCCTCCATATAGTGTGAAACCCCTGCCTCCCCTGGATAAAGCCGTTCTGGTCTGAATGAATCATTTTAGGCAAGAGTTTCTCTAATCTCATAGCTAATAGTTTGCAAAGTATCTTGCAATCATAATTCAACAGTGAGATTGGTCTATAAGAACTACAATGTGTTGCTGGCTTATTAGGTTTCAGTAACAAAGTAATTGTTGCAACATTAAGTGAAGGGGGGAGAGACCCCGATTCAAATGATTCCTGATACATATCCAATAAAGGCTGGATTCATTTATCTTTAAATATTTTAAATATTTCTATTGGTATTGCGTCAGGTCCAGGAGTTTTGCCCCCTTTCATGTTCCTTATAGTATTAGTAATTTCTTCTACTGTTATATTAAGCTCTAGTTCATCCATATCGTTTTCTGGTAGTCTAGGAAAATGCAGCTGATCCAAAAAAACTATTTGTTTTGATGAAAATTACTTTAAATGCTCAGTTGTGTATAGCTGTTTATAAAAAGTAGAAAAAGAGTCATTAATATGTTTAGGATCAGCTGTGATCTGTCCTTCATCTGTTCTTTCAGCCTGAGCCTGTTTAATACACCAAGCCAGTATTTTACTTGCTTTTTCACCCTGTTCATAATATGACTGTTTCAGTCTTAGTAAACTTTTAGTAGCTTTATTTAATGACAAAATATTAAATTTAGCTCTGAGTTTATTTAACTCTAGAATTAGAGCATTAGATTTGGATATAAATATCTCTTCCTCAATATCTTTCATCTTTTTCTCCAAATGGACCAGTTCCATCCTGGATGCTTTATGTTTAAAGCTTGTAAAACTGATCATTTGCCCTCTCAGGAAAGCTTTAAAGGCCTCCCATTTTATAGTCAGGTTTACTGCAAACAGGAACTCCCTAACAACAGAGGCATTAGTCAGTGATGAATATCTATTTTAAACAGCAGCCTTTACTTTGCTTTATTGTGTAGGGGATACCTTCCCCTCCAGGCTAGTGGAGGTTCTTACAGCTGTAGCAAACATTTTTATTGGTGTTTTATTGTCTCATCTATCCATTCATTTTCCCCCTATAAGAACTGTAGCCAAAGAAAGACAGTTAAAAGAATCACCTGCACTAGACAACAACAGGATGTTTCATTTGTGTTTTCCCCACAGGGATAAGGATTGATGCCCCTTTGTCTGTTATATCCTGTAGGTAGACTTTTAAACCAGATCACGTCTGGAATGTTGTTCAGCAGCTCGGCGGAAAACAACTTTTTTCAGGTGATCTTTTAACAGAATTAGAATATTTAGTAGCAGAAACTAACTGTTGTGGAGAAAATAAATACATTTACTCAAATACTGTGGCGTTTATACTTTTCTTGTTTTTAATTTGTTTTTTAAATTGTTTCAAATTTGAAATGGAAGCATCTGGATGACCTGTGATTGATAGAACCATAAATTCTGCTCCCTGCTAAATTCGAACCATTAGCCCGTCCACTGCTGCTTAATCGCACTTAGGTTATGTAGTAGGACAATGATCCAAAAAACAGCAGCTACCTCAGAATAGCTCAAAGAAGAAGAAGAAAAAGGTTGTTCATGACTATGACTGATTTAAAATAATTCTGTCTTTCAAAATTTACCCTGAGCGTAATAGCGATTGCCAGTTTCTGCAAACTGATTGGTTGATTGCAGTTCTTTCAAGGTTTAAGGTTATCAGGTTAAGGGGGCAATTACTTTTTTCACAGGCAGCCTGGTGGTTAGCACTGTTGCCTCACAGAAAGAAGGTGCTGAGCTTGACTCCAACATCTGGCCGGTGCCTTTCGGTGTGGACTTTTCATGTCCTCCCCAGTTTGCGTGGGTTCTCTCAAGCTTTGCCAAAGTCCAAAGAAATGCAATTAGCGTGGTTAACTGATGCTTCGAAATTGCCCATAG